AGAAGTATTTCAAAATATTAGTAGTTTCTTTTATATGTTTCTTGATTTTTTTGTGATATCTTCGTACATTAATTTATGTTCATTTGTTTCATTTCTCCATCGCAAAGTACCAACTTTCCTCATTTTAACAGATAATTTTTCAAAAAAAACATTTTGGGGGCGAACCCCCGTGAGCTCCAGCCCCTTCAACTCCGAAACCCCCCTAATTTGAAGGGCTGGCTCCGCCCCTGGTTATCATATACGACTTTTAACCGTCACGAGATACGTAAGTATGCTTTTAACGTAAAATTATCTATTTTAATGTCGTATCTGGCTTGTTATTCTCCAAACAGTAGTGTTGTGAGGCTTTTCGTAGTCTTGTTATAATATTAAATTATATCAAAATAATTATTATATCCAATGTGCTTTTGTATTTAGGGTTAATTGTGGGATAAGTTTCTTCAACAGTTACTGAACTATAAGCAAAATTTCAATTGAATCATTAAATTTTAATTTGCTTCAATTGAATCACTAAAATTTAATAAAACACTAACAAAAAGAAATATATGTCCAAGTTTATTAACTATCATGTCCATATGAGTCCACATTTTCCACCTTGTTTAAACTGATAATTAAGATTACGACATCAGACATAACTTGATGAAGAGAAAACATGACTAGATAGTAAGATTAACATAAAGAAATATGTGTTGAACTTTATCAATTGTCTTGTCTAATTCAATGTATCGATTTATATATAAAAACAATTGTGTCGTGCTGGACAGGTAGAATTTTACCTCGTCATTGAACAAATAATTAAGATTACGACTTTATTCTCAAGATGCTATAGGACTGTCATTTTCCTATCTAATTAAACATTCAAATGTCAAAGATATACAAGATCAACTAGGGCTTCTATTATACTAACATGAAAATATCAATACACTATAATTTATTGACATATTCATGTGTCAATTTTACGAAGTTAAATTTCAAGTGCATACCGTGAATATATTCTTATAAACATAAACCAATAAGTGTTTAAGGTCCGTCACTAAACCAAGTAGAGTCCATGATACGTTGCTCTATATTTAGCCCCTGTTTGGTCCGGATTATTATCTGATTTTAATTAAAGTTAAAGTCAAACAATCAATATTAAACGCATCTTTCATGGGTCCCACAACTTTTCATCCACACATTTCAAAAATTTATTTGACAATCTACTAAAAATCTAATTTTAATCCCCACCAAACATCCTCTTAAAGAGTAATACTATTTAGTCTCACTGTGGTTGCAACCTCAATTTAGACTACATTGATGTGACATTAAATGATAAGTTGAATTGAACGACTCATTTAATTTCACATTTAATTTAGCATATAATCAAGTGTCATCTAGATTGGAATTGCGACTCCAGTATAGCTACATAGCATTATTCATATTTAAATAATTTATGCATAATAAGTAAACCTTTTTGGGATCAAAGATGTAATTATCACTCTGAACTGGTTGTTGTTAGGGAGTCGAGCATCTTAATTGATTGAAATTTGTTAGGGGGGCCCTTTCATCTGCCCCTTTATTACGACATTTGGAAGACAGCTGCAGGAGAAAGCAAAAGCAGTTGAGGTAGCATAGACAAGATACATATATGTTTGATTTAGGTTTCGATATTTTGTCTATGATTTGAAATCAAATCAGACACTTTAAGGTTACTCATTCATACACCAAACCCTCAACTTCACAAGCTCAGATTGCACTGCAAAACTCATTGATTCTCCCTTTCTCACGGTTAAGATCGTGTATTTTATGTTGGGGAGCATCAATTTGTCTGTGTTTATATTTATTTTGTAGACTTGTGTTGTGACTTTAGCTTTTATTTGGTACGGATTTAGCCTAAAAAAGAAGGCCACTATGTCCTGCTTTTATTGTCGTTTGGTGATATATAGATTTATAGTTTGTTTTATTTTAATGTCAATAAATTAAGTTCAAGCAATCATGAAGGAAATATTTATGATGAAAAAGCGGTGTAAAATCAAACAAAACCGTTTCGTTTATGTCTCAATTTTTCTTATAACCGTTTTCAATAATCCGAGAATATATCAAAAATCATTCAAATCGGATCATTTGCTATCGTGAAAATCTAAATTCTCGGACTATAAGTCTTGTCGTACTTTTTTTAACATAAAATTATCTATTTTAACGCAGTGTCTTAGTAGCTCGAAATTTTGACACGAAACCCATTGGTATATTCTTGAAGTTTATCAGTTTCTTCTGTTAGGTGACAAATTGAATTTATGAAATTGGTTTCCTACATTGACATAGAATAATGTTATTTATCATTATAATGATATATTATCAATGATATAATAGTGTATGTAGAATAATGAGATTGAACAATACAATTTAGATGATAGAGAGAGGGAAAGCAAGAGAGAGAAAAGTGAGGGATAATGAACTGTCATATCGTTGATAATTTATTATAATGGATTGTCATATCACTGATGATTTATTATCATGATAATAAATATCTATTCTCTTGACAATATCGCTAGAATGGTTAATTACATGTTCACTCTAATCTAAATACCCAACTTTTAGCTTGAAAAAGTTGGCCAATTTGAGGATTTAAGACATTAATAATAAAGAAAAGAAAAATGTGACCTTAAATTTATGCAATTGGTTTCCTACTTGGTACGATATTTAATCAAATCAATGTCAACCTTATTGGGTTGGTGAAGAAACCCAATTGGTAGTGAAGGGCAAGTGTATGGATCTATAACTCCAACGTATGACTATGGGACGCAACCCAAAATCAACGTCGTGAACAATAAGGTAAATTCCTATTGACGGAGACGCATAGGGGACCGACCTATACATATGGACAGTTGTTCGTGGAAATTTCACTTGGTGTCACTTGACTTATAGGTGTGTTTCATGTTGGTCTCGCTCAATTTTAGTTTACCATATTTATTCTTTTATTTGAATTTGATTTTTCTATCTATAATTGTTATCAAGATGGATGGAATTGACTTGACCATCAAAATTAGGTATCGAAATGGCACATGTTGAGATCGGAATGGCTATTCATGTTCCCCATCTTGCACTCGATAATCGTGTTCATAACCTCCAAACTATCATCTTTTTGGACCGTAAAATCTAATTTTATAATAGTCTTGATAGCCATGTTACAAGTTTCATTGGTAAGGTTACAAATTATGTCGACTAGGTCAAGTATCCCATAATTTTGATAACAATTACAGATGCAACGATCATATGGAAATAAAAATATAAGTTGGACAATCCAATTGAAACGAATAATACAAGTTGGTGACCAATAGAAAACAAATTGAAGTTGAGTGACTAACATGAAACAAACCTATAAGTTCGAAGACCTATACTAAACTTTTCAATATATGTCCCGGCTTCCTTCTTCCTTCACTACAAGAATCCTATTCAAACACATATACGTACATAAAAGACTCCATTAATATGTGTTTGTGTATATTTACAGTAAGCATATTTCATTCATAATATCTCCTCCACTTTTCATCCTAAAAATTTTGAAAACACAAAAAATTGAAAAAATTAGTACAAATTTCTCCATGTTTGTGGTTTATCTGTTCTTAGTATTCTTCTTGATTATATTTTCAATATTCCTTGTTCGATTATTTCTACATCGAACTGCTTTAATATTTGTTCTGAGGAAGTGGGGCGAATGGATTGAGGACAGGGTTCATGTTCATCAGCACTTGAAGATCCCTGAATTCAATGAAAACTGTCAGCAAAATCAGTTCTATCAAAAAGTTTCTGTTTATGTAAATTCATTGGATTCCATTGAAGATTCCGATTTCACCAATCTCTTCTCCGGCAAGAAATCAAGCGACATCATTTTGTGTCTCGATGATGATCAAACAATCAAGGATACTTTCCTCGGGGCACGAGTTTCATGGATCAACAAGATTGAAAGAAATCATCGGAGCTTTGTATTGAAGATGAAGAAAAAGGATAAGAGGAGAATCCTCAAGCCTTATCTTCAACATATACATACAGTTTCTGATGATATTGAACAAAGACGAAAGGATTTGAAGCTACGCATAAATATTGATTGTAATTGGAGATCTCTTCCATTCGGCCATCCTGCGAACATTGACTCGATTGCTCTTGATCCAGATTTGAAAAACAAGGTGAAATCTGATCTAGAAACTTTCATCAAATCCAAGCAGTATTATCAAAAACTCGGCCGTGCCTGGAAGCGGAGTTATCTTCTTTACGGCCCTTCCGGCACAGGAAAATCCAGTTTTATTGCAGCAATGGCGAATTTACTTTCGTACGATGTTTACAACGTTAATTTATCACAAGTTTCGGATGATTATCATCTTAACATGCTTCTGCAGCAAACTACTTCCAAATCGTTGATTATTGTCGAAGATTTGGATCGTTATGTTGCTGAAAAATCAACGGCTGTTACTTCATCTGGGCTGTTGAATTTCATGGATGGAATTTTGGGTTCAAGCCTTTGCAATGGGAGAATTATGGTTTTCACTATGAACAGTAAAGAGGGAATTGATTCAGCTCTTTTAAGGCCTGGAAGAATTGATGTTCATATTTATTTTCCTTTGTGTGATTTCAATTCATTCAAGAGTTTAGCCAGCAGTTATTTAGGAGTTAAGGAGCATAAATTGTTTCCACAAGTGGAAGAGATTTTTCAGAGCGGCGCCACCATGAGTCCAGCGGAGATTGGGGAACTGATGCTGGTAAACCGGAGTTCGCCGAGTCGAGCATTGAAATCAATAATCACAGCATTGCAATCAAATGGAAGAAGCAGCGGTGGTGGAAAGTTTGGACATCAGTTGATCAGCGAGAGCGCAGTTTCATCACCGGACCGATCATCTACGGCGGAGGATGCTGGTGGTGTGGCTTGGAAGGAAACGGTGGTGCCAAAGGAGTTTCGAAAATTGTATGGCATGTTGAGATTAAAGACTCACAAGAAACCTGGATCGATAAATCACAATCATGAGATGATTGAACGGTGACGGCGTCTGTTTTCTAAATTTAGACGATTGATTTTAAAAGTTCTAGTTTTTCAAATTTTTAGTTTTGTATACACATTTGAAGTCAAATCAATGGATTTGTAAGACTTATTAATATGTAAATAATTCATATGCATGCATATATATTGCACATGTCAAGTAGAACTTTGTTATCAAATTGAAAGGTTGAACAAGAATTAGAGATATGTCACAAATAAGCCTTCGTTCTCATCTCTAGTTTGGTAGGCTAGGACCTTTAAATGAGCAATTATGTGCAAATGTCATCGAAATTTAGCTGCCCATGCTGATTTTCTCATGAACCAATTGAAATAAATACGTGCACAAACTGTTAGGACTGTCACAGGTTTAATTTTACGAAGTATTTAATCAACAAACTCTTGGAAATCCCACACACACATTATGCTCTCAAATTGTTTGATAATACACCTAACACAACACTTTTCCTCAACAACAAGCTCATCAAAGCCTACGCTTCTCATGGACCTTATTTTCAATGCTTGCTATATTCCCAGATGCTGCGCCAACTGCCAAGGGAACTCTCCCAATGCACATTATTTTAACTTCCTCTTTGCTACTTGTGCCAACCCTTCTGTCTATTCTCAATGCCACATGCCACATGCTCATTTCATTCAATTCGGCCTGGAGAGAAGTGTAGTTTCTAGTGACGTTTTGGGGATTTGGATGAAGCTTCTTGTTTGTTCTTGGCTATGTCATTGATAAGTGTAGTTTCTAGATATCCTAAATCATGATATTTTATTGTCTTTTGGATAAAATTATACCTAATTTATGTTATATTGTGTATTGTATGTAAAATTTTATCTTTAACGAAGAATTGGAGAAAAGAATGTAAAGTGGCAAAAAAAAAATGACAAAATTCAAAGATGAAATTTTGGAGAGAAATTTTACATTGAATGGGTTCGAGTTAAATGGGCTCTTGCATTGGAAATTTTAATTGAATGCCCTAATTAAACCTATATATATATATATAGAAAAGAGAAAGGAGAAGTAGGGGGAAGAAAACGACGCTGAAGTAGGAGAAAAATGAAAGAAGAAAATGAGAGAAAAAGAAAGAGAGAAGAATCGAAAAAAAAAAAAAAAGAAGGGAAAATCAGAATCAGAGAGAGAGGGAGTGAGAAAAAGAAAAGAAATAAAATAAAAAGAAAGAGAAAAAGGAAAGGAAATTGCAGACACGAGAATTTTCACGTTTCGTCAATTTTTGATGATTTCTTTTTACTTTTGCACATTTTTATTTTTAAAATATGAATAAATAATTTTTAAATTAGAGAAAACAATGTAGTCAACTTGTAATCCTTTATTTTTTTATTTAAGATTGCGGTGATTTATTTATATATGTGTTGGTTTTATTATGAGTTTAATACTTTAAATTACCTGATCAATAATTTGATAATTATGTAAGTCTCTTACGAATCGATATGTGAGTTTGAGATTTAAACCATATAATAAAATCTGATAAATTAGTATAACGAGTACAGATATTTATACTAATTATTACGATCATAATATGAATTTTTAAAATTAGTATTTCGTTTAACTAAAGTTGATTCACATAAAGATGTGTAATTTAATTAGTTAAATAGGTTCAATGAGAACTCGAGATGGGTAAATTGAATACAATGGAAAAATTTGATCGAACACTACATTATGGTATGAATATTAAATTAAGAATAAATGTGATCAATAGATAAAATTGTTATTTCCTAATATT